TGGCCCCTTCTGACTCAACTCTTTTGGCTTAAAGAGCTTGGCTCTATTTCACTTTTATAGTAAATGAAGGTGAACCAGCTTTTTGAAGGGTTATTTGTAGTTCTCCCCTTTTCCCTTATCTTCCTACAGTGTGGGAGATAGCATTACAAAAACCATATACATTTGGTTCAATAGTTAATTAGAGAGAAGCACAAGTTCCTCATAGGACCGCTTTGAACAAGCATGCCTTCCTCAGGAACAGGAAATTTAAAAAATGTAGGCCAGTTAATCTCCATAAGAGGCAAGCGTGAACAAAAATATTACAGTTTAGATCCAGGAAAGTGCCTCCATCTCTCATCTGTCTTCAAAATAAAATAAAAATCCCAATGGAGGAAAAAAAAAAAAAAGAGAGAGAGAGAGAGAGAAGAAATCAGCCTAAGCCCCACCTTTCTATATTTCTTCTCTGACATTACTGGAACCGTGTCACAACTGGGTGCTCTGTGTGTGTGCATGTACGTAACTTCTTCCTTTACAATTCTTCTATTAACCAAGATGTTCTTGAACCTTTGTATTTAAAATTCTTATTCATAAAAATATTTGAACCACATACAGTTTGATTATGTGCATTTTCACCTTTTTGTGAAGCAAATAAGGTAGACTCTGGAGACACACTGGCTACACTGACACACTATTAAAAATGCAATTCAGACTGAGTCACTGCCTGTTATTTTTATAAGCGAGACCCTCATTCTGATGGACCCCAAAGAATGGGCTGCCGTGACTAAGCAAGCAGCATAAGAAAACTGGCTTCTGCCGGATCTTATCTTATTTGGAACACATTTCAAACTTTAGAACAGATTTTCAAATGAGAAGTTGAAACCTGCAGACTGTCAGCAGAAGGGACTGATTCACTCTGTAGAACTTATCTTACTCCAAGTTCCAGGCGGGGTCTTTTAAGGAATAGGTTGCCTGTGATGTGTTTTGATACATCAGAAAGAGAAAGAGAGAGGGGGAGAAGGAGAGCGAGCGAGCGAGAGAGGGCGAGTGTAAGGGGAGCACACACCTTTAACATCCTTTGAACTTTTAATGCATGATTATTTGATTAGAAACTTCTTTAAATAAGATAGCTGCTTCTAGTTCAATATAACTTGTGGCATGTTCATGGTTCTCTGAAAGGGTAATTAATTTTATGCTTTTTATTTATTTATATTTTTAGTGGTAGGGTTTCTATGTGTAGAAGTTTTGAGTCATAACTCTTATGTCAGTATTATTATTGGATAAATCGGAATTGAGAAAGTAGAACCTTGCCAAGGTCAGAGACAAGAAAATCTTATATTGCTGGTGCCGAATTCTTTATTAATTGGTCATCGTTTTCATGCGGAATCAAAGACTTGCTGAAAGTCTAGCTACTCAGAAAATTGTGAAAAGGCTCCTGAGTCCCTTAAATTAGAGGAACTACAGAAAGGATAGCAATAATAATGATTGTTGGCCTGGCACAAATATTGAGATAGCACTTGGAGAATACTAGCTTGTCTAGGGAGAAAAAGCTCCATGCTCTTATTATTTTTGGTTAACAAAACCTAGGTTGCTACTGCTCTACAGGGAGAAATAGAAGGAGTGACCCACTAGAGGTCCCTTCCAACTAAAAAAAGTTTCCAGAGTTCAAAGGATGCAGCCTTATTAAGTTGGCATTCAAAGCTGCAAAGCAACTAGGGGGGACCACACATTTTAATTCCTTATGAAGATACGTGGTTTTATTAGAACATTGGTCACATTTCCTCTCTCTCACTCTCTTTTATCTTTATGTGGGACATCCACTCAACTAGCACTAATTAGATACTCAGAACTTGTTTCAACTTACTGATACGATAAAGAAGTGTTATTTGCTGTCCTTCCACGGTAGCTGTGCTTTCTAGAAATCTGAGTGTTTTCAAGGATCTCAAGCAGTATTTTGCAAGATAATTTTTCCCTTAAAAAAGAAGAGTATCTCACTGTAAGTTTTCTCTTGTAAAGTTGATGGAAGTGGTGGGTGGAAGAGATAAGGTACACATTTTTTGATAGTAGGAAACATGATAGAAAATGATTTTCATTTCTTATATTATCTTTGCAGTTAGCATTGAGAAATGTAATTGCAATAAATTGGTGTGAAAGCCAGATTGCAAAGGGATTAAAAGTCCCTATAGAGACACTGCCTTGTCACTTTCTTATAATGGCAGCAAAAAGATACTTGTAGACAAATAGAGTACCACTAACCATTGTCATTTTCCTTCAAACTGTGCTGCTGCCTCTCATGTTTTTCTGAAGAAACTGATTACTTCCTCTACTTCAAAAGTATGGCATGAGCCATCAAATTAAGTGGGAAAGGATCTGCCTTTTAGTTCCCCTCAATACCTTTTTAATTAGGATACACCAAAGAACAAAAGGAGATGACATCCAATCCTGTGTGATGATATTTTCCAGGCAATTGCTGGGTTTCTTTTAATTTTTGAGCTTTGCATTGAAAACGTGGCCTCTGGCATAAACTTTGCTCTGTTCTTTATGACATAATGAAGACATCTGCTTGATCCTATCCCCTTTTTTCACACAACTGGTTTTCTGGTTCTCTAAAATAGCAAACACAGAGCCATGCAAGTGCTCTTTCACAAAGGATGATGCTCAAGCTAAACTGGAAGAATTTTTTTTTTTTTTCCTCTTCCCCAAAGTAGGAGCCTAAGGGTTTTCCTTTTCAGGTAAAGCTGTCAGCTAGAAAAGAGAAAATATGCAACCCTTGGCCACTGTTCATTTAACCATATTTGTTTCTCATTCTTGGAAGAGTTGTGTATTAACTAGGTATCCCTGTGTTCCCTTTCCAACACGGGGAGGAGTTTGCACCTCCTGGATAATTAACCACTTAGAAAGCCCACATTTTGCGACTTCACCCCTCCAGAGCAGCCACACACACACACACACACACACACACACACACACACACCAGCCACTCCTGCAACGTTTTTGCAGAAAAAAATGTTTTTCTGAAGAAACTGATTACTTCCTCTACTTCAAAAGTATGGCATGAGCCATCAAATTAAGTGGGAAAGGATCTGCCTTTTAGTTCCCCTCAATACCTTTTTAATTAGGATACACCAAAGAACAAAAGGAGATGACATCCAATCCTGTGTGATGATATTTTCCAGGCAATTGCTGGGTTTCTTTTAATTTTTGAGCTTTGCATTGAAAACGTGGCCTCTGGCATAAACTTTGCTCTGTTCTTTATGACATAATGAAGACATCTGCTTGATCCTATCCCCTTTTTTCACACAACTGGTTTTCTGGTTCTCTAAAATAGCAAACACAGAGCCATGCAAGTGCTCTTTCACAAAGGATGATGCTCAAGCTAAACTGGAAGAATTTTTTTTTTTTTTCCTCTTCCCCAAAGTAGGAGCCTAAGGGTTTTCCTTTTCAGGTAAAGCTGTCAGCTAGAAAAGAGAAAATATGCAACCCTTGGCCACTGTTCATTTAACCATATTTGTTTCTCATTCTTGGAAGAGTTGTGTATTAACTAGGTATCCCTGTGTTCCCTTTCCAACACGGGGAGGAGTTTGCACCTCCTGGATAATTAACCACTTAGAAAGCCCACATTTTGCGACTTCACCCCTCCAGAGCAGCCACACACACACACACACACACACACACACACACACACCAGCCACTCCTGCAACGTTCTTGCAGAAAAAAATCCTCTTCTTACCCTCAGGATGTGCTTCAGTAAGTCAAAGTGAAGACTGGCTGAGACACATCCACAGTGTGACTATCTTAATCAAAATGCCTTTACAAAAAAGAGTGCGAGAGAGAAACGTGTGGCTATTCCAGATGATTAAACTTCTTGGTTCTTGAATGTTCTCAGTAGTAGTTAACTCAGGTGATCAGCCCCTTGCACTAACGGAGACCTGCATTTAACTCCCTATAAAATATGGATTTTATTGCAGCAGTGACAACACTTCTCAGCACCACGCTGACCTCTCCAGCATCTCCCACCTCGAGATCTACGGTAACTCTTGGCAGGAGACTACCTAACTACAGAAGAGGTCATCCCAGCTGGGCAACTGCTGCAGTACACAACGTTGCAACGTCCTCTTTCATTAAATTCCGGGATTAACGCATGAGGGGTTCTACTTTTCCTGGATCTGACACCCAAAACCAGGCGCCCTCGCTCTGCTCTCGATCAGTCCAGAGAAGGCTTTCTTCCCCAGATTTGTGCCTGGCCAGCCAGAGAAGAGCACGAGCGAACTGCGGCTTCCACATGACTTTTCCCTGGACAGTGTGCTCCATTTTCGGAGTCCAATGTTGGACTTTCCTTGCAACCTAAGCATTTCTGCCCTAGATGAGCCGGCAAGCGTTGCCCCGAACGTGCAAGCTAACAGTTCTCTTTGCTCCTTCTCATAGCCAAATCATCTCTTTAGCTTAAGTTTTCCCTTTTGGGAGCATTCCAGAGTTTTCAGACGATCTGATCGTCTGCTTTATCCCAAAAGCCAAGAAATGTAACTCAGCCCAAGCAGTCACCGCACCGACCCTTGTGATGTGGGCAGGTGGAGATAAATCAAGCCCCCAAAGGCTCCGCGGGTCCTGCACGCACCAGCGCCCTTGGTAATTGACCAGCCAACTTTGCAAATGCCGGAGCTCCCCTGGCAGCCTCCGCAGGCTGAGAGATATACTGGCGGCTCGTCCCCGGGTGGCGTCCCGCTTACTTGTGCCCCGATCAAGCCCTAGAGTGTATCGGTCTTACCAGAAGGCGGAGGAGCGGCGCCCTGGCTCCCGGGGAAGCTGTGCGGGTCCTGGGTAGCTGCAGCGGCAGCAGCGGCCGCCCGCGCAGCCGGACCCGCG